CTGCTAGGTGCAGCCTGGTAGAAGCTTTGAGGTTCTGAAGCTGGATAGCTGTGCTCAATCAGTGTTTATCAACAAGTCTTACAAGAAAAAGATTCCCACTTGGGTGGCTTGGCTCAGAGACAGCACCCTGTGGAAGTGTCGAAAGAAATTTCACATAGTTGGTATCTGGCTAGTTTGGAGCACGTGTACATATACATACTGATAAAGTAGACAGGCTCTTAGTTTCTTTAACCCTTGGTTTGTTGTTCTGGAAAAGCAAATATTAGTATGTCTTTGCCTCCCAGAGAGGTAATGATAGCAATGCACTAAAATTCTACAGAGATGCAATTTGCAGAATCAATGAGTAAATGAAGGGACTTGGTCCTCTTTTTTCAGCAGGTTATGTTTTGGTATAGCAGAAAAAAAACCCCTTAGACTTCCCAAAGATCCAGGACTATGGTTGTCAAAATCTAGTCTAATACTTTTTTCTGAGTTTAATGAGCCAGCAAGGAAATACACTATACAGTGTCTATAGAAGCTTATAAATTCAAACTACTGTATATTTTTGAAGAAACTAAGTTTGCAAATACATATTTCTAACAATACTATGCCGTAATCCCCTCCAATACAGTGAAGATATAGGCCAGTCTCTTTTGACAGGTATGTCTCACTGGTTTGCAGTTTTGTAGCTTAAAAACAAATAGTCTGGGGCCTTAAAATTATCTCTGGCTAAGCAAGCAAAGCTCAATGCCTAAGAAAGCTAGGTAGAAGCAAATAACCATGAACTCGACAGAAAGACATGGTCCACTTCTCTTCTTGCACAATGAAATTTGGCACTCCATTTGTCTTGTGATATACTGAATGCTTACAGAGTCAGCTGCATGCTGTGGTGAAAAAGCTATTCTCTCCCATTCCAGAAGCTACATGGAACCTCTGCCTGCTTTGAATCAAATGTAGGATCACACTGTGCCCACTGAGGTCAATTTTACTGTAACATACACAGCACTGAATTGCAAGAGACCACATGAATTAACTGAAAACTTCATTCTTAGGAAAGAAAGTCTCACTTGTTGCTTAAATACTGTGCTGAAAGAGGGAAATTGCATGCACACACACTCTTACTCCGTTTGAAAAGTGGTGAACATATGATTTTAGCAACATTTTGCTTTCCCAGTTATGCTCTGTCATTTGAATGAACAGTTCTTCCTTCAAACTAACATTGGCTAATGTTGAATTTCAGCTGGAAAAAGTTTATGATCCCAAAAATGAAGAGGATGACATGGTTGAAATGGAAGAAGAAAGGCTGAGAATGAGAGAACATGTAATGAATGAGGTGGGGAGTGATGTTTATTTGTTCTGAGTTCCTTCTATGTTCAAGAAATACAGTTTTTTTAACATGAAGTATTGCCCAAGTGCAGCAGAAACTTGTCACACTGAATGTTGTTTGTGCTGGGACTCATGTAAAGTAATAATTCTCAAGCTTTGTTCTTGTATTCTGATGTCAATGCCTGTTGACTGGTTTTTGTTTAAGAAGTTCCAGAGAAGGAATTGTGCAGTAGCCTGCATCTTCTGCAGATGCCTAGATTGACTAGAAGTTCCCTCTGAATTGTGTGTCTAACAGGGAAGACTCTAAATGTGCTTGGGCACTTGGCCAATGGGTAAGATTTAGGTGTGAGAAGAGGGAGTAGAACAATGTCTTCTTTCACATAGCTCACCTTTGTCCCTTCAGAAGAGGGCTCAGAACTCAAGGTACTACCCATGACAGTAAATACCTTTACCAGTTCTTATGGGTTTTCAGCTCAGGAAACAGAGGAAAGGGAAGAGGATGTTTTGAACCACTGTGGTTTTTACTCATAATTTTTCGGTATTCAACTATACTCCTTCAGCTTGAGGAACAGAGCAAGTCTTGTCTCCTATTACTCATAAAGGGAAGCATTTCCTCTTTTGCCCTAAAGGATTCTGACACAATTCAGTTGGGTGGATTTTTCTTTTGGTTTTGAAAAACTTCCTAGCCAAGAGTGGCGGTAATTTTGTAACTGTGAGTCAGAGAAATTACCAGAAATCTACAAAACATTTTTCTCAAAAAAATCATACATTCCACTGTTAGTGTTGGGGCTGTGAATACATGTTTCCAATAAAGTCAATGAGTTTTGAAATGAAATGTGAGGATTTACTTTTTAGTTCTATTTAAGCTGGGGAGAAAAGTTTTCAGATGATGTTGGGGGCACTCCCTTGAAAATAGGACAGTTTAACAATTAAAATGGTTATATTTTAAGATATTTGATAAAGAAATTAAACATTAGCTCCACCAAAACCCATCAAGGTTGGAGAAGACCTCTAAGATCAAGTCCAGTCATTAACCTGCCACTCACTTGTAACCCCCAAACCATATTCTTCATTGTCAAATCCAGATGCCTCTTAAATACTTCAGGGGTGATGACTCCACCACCTCCCTGGGCAACCTATTCCAGTGCCTGAACACCCTAACAGGGAAAACATTCTTCCTAACATCTAATTTGACTCTCCCCTGTCTCAGCTCAAGGCCATTCCCTCTAGTCCTCTCCCTGCAGCCATGGCAGGACAGACCATCCCCCACCTCTCTACAGCCTCTTTCAGGTAGTTGGAGAGAGCCATGAGGTCACCCTTGAGCCTCTTCTCAAGGCTAAACAGACCTAATTCCCTCAGCCCTTCCTCATGTGCTCTAGACCTTTTCTGCCCCTGTTGCCCTTTGCTGGACTAACTCCAGCACCTAAATGTCCTTTTTTAAGTGAAAGGCCCAAAACTGAGCACAGCACTCGAGGTCCTACCTCACCAGTGCTGAGTACAGGGTGAAGATCACTGTCTTGGTCCTTGACCCAGGCCAGGATGCCATTGGCCTTCTTGGCCACCTGTGCATACTTTGGCTCACATTGAGCTGCTGTCACCAGAACTGCCAAGTCTCTTTCTGATGAACAATCAATCCTTTAGGATAGATGGTCCTTTAGGCTGATGCTGATTTTTTGCTTCACATAGGTTGACATCAACAAGGACCGTCTTGTGACTATGGAAGAGTTCCTGAGAGCTACACAGAAAAAAGAATTTTTGGAGCCAGACAGCTGGGAGGTAAGGAGAATGTGTTCCAAGTACAGTATGCAGTACCACTACTAGCACTCTGACCAGGAAATCAAACAGAATGTCTGTGAGCTTTGCTTTTTTCTTTTTCTTTTTTTTTTTTTTTTTTGCTTTTTTTTTTTTGAGTTCTGTGTCAGTATGTGTGTTGTTAAGCACCTTAGCTAAGTACAACATATGAAATGCAGCAGAATAACGTCCTGCAGAACTTTAGGGGCCTCACACAGATCGAGAGTGTCTGGCGCCACCCTGGGGATTCTAGAAGAGCTTTTCCCACGTTTTTTCAAAGGGAAAATGGACATTTTGTTTATGAATCACTTTAAAGGGAAGATAAGAGCTCAGCTGGTAGCAAGAGGTGTTTTTTTCTCCTATTTCTAGATCTATAGTAGAGGTTTGTGGAGAAGATAGCTAAAAAAGCCAACAGCCCAGAAAGACAATCAAATCCTGGGCTACATCAAACGGTGTGTGGGCAGCAGGTCAAAAGAGGTGATTCTCCCCTTCTACTCTGCTCTCATGAGACCCCACCTGGAATACTCTGTGCAGTTCTGGTGCCCTCAACATAAGAAGGATGTGGAACTGTTGGGGCAAGTCCAGAGGAGGTCACGAAGCTTCTGAGATGGCTGGAGCATCTCCCCTAAGAAGACAGGCTGAGAAATTTGGGGCTGTTCAGCCTGGAGAAGAGAAGACTGTGTGGAGACCTCATAGCAACTTTTCAGTATCCAAAGGGCCTAAAAGAAGCCGCAGAGGGACTCTTTGTTAGGAACTGCAGTGATAGGACAAGGGGTAATGGGTTCAAATTCAAAGAGGGGAAGTTTAGGTTAGATATTAGAAAAACATTGGAACAAGTTGCCCAGGGAGGTAATAGATGCCCCAACCCTGGCAATGTTCAAAGCCAGGTTGGATGAAGCCTTGAGCTACCTGTTCTAGTGGGGAGGTGTCCCTGCCCATGGTGGGGGGTTGGGACTAGATGATCTCTAAGGTCCATTCCAACCCCTAAAATTCTATGATTCTATGAAATAACTATTTTGCTGTTTGCAGTGAGTATACTAACCCTTTAGAGGGTAATGTCTGGGTATTTTATTCTGAGAGCTTTTTAGTGAACAGTTCGGATAAGAATTTCAGTGGGAAAATAATAACAAATATACATGCATTCCTGGCTAAGTACTGATGTTTATGTGTTTTCTTGCAGACACTAGATCAACAGCAGCTCTTCACTGAGGACGAGCTGAAGGAATTTGAAAATCATATTTCCCAGCAGGAAGATGAACTTAGAAAGAAGGCAGAAGATCTTCAGAAACAGAAAGAAGAGCTACAGAGGCAGCACGACCAGCTTCAGGCTCAGAAACAGGAGCTTCAGCAGGTACATGTATGAGAATTTTTTTTCCCCTTTTCTGTATCCTTCTGTATATAGCAGTTCATGACAATACCCAACTCTGGAACATTCTTTCCTTTGATTTCTCAAATGAGTTCCAGCTGTATTCTAAATTAACAGCACAACATAGTGAAGTAATCAGGATTGTAGCAAACAATACAGTCATCTCAACTCAGCAGTACACCCACTAACAAGGACTTTACGTAACGACTGCAGAGTTTGTTTGAAGTGTATCCATTTGTATCACATCAGAGAAAGTTGACAAATTTCAGTCTTTCAGCTGTTGTGTTTTATTTTTCACCAGGTTGTAAAACAGATGGAACAAAAGAAACTACAACAAGGAAATCCTCCTGCAGGACCAGGTGGAGAACTGAAGTTCCAACCCCGTATGTATCTTTCTGTGTAGATACACAACCTTACATCTCCAATGTCAAAGTCATTGCAGTTATATTTTCTGTTGAAACTTAACATAAGGCAGTTTTAGTGACCTCTCTAGAGAGGTTCACTAAACTGTCTTTAAGAAGGAAGTCTGTAACTCTTCTAAAGTATTCCTAAAATCTCAGTGCTTATAAGTTCTTAGTAAAAATAGAGAGTTTTAACACAAGGTATGAAATGGGCAGAGAAGGAGGATTGTCAGACCTATCAGTGTTGGACAATGCTCTCAGGTACATGGTGTGATTCTCATGGATGTCCTGTGCAGGGCCAGGAGTTGGACTAGATGATCCTCAAGGTTCCCTTCCAATTCTGATTATTCTGTGAGTCTATCAGTTTAAAAATACTGAGATCTAAAGCATCCAGAGAAGAACAGGGACATCCAAATGACCAAGTTTGTTTGATGGTCTATGGCTGCATCGCAGTCTCAGACTGTAGAACAAGTCAAAGCATTTAAATAACCTCAGTGGTCAATTTACCCGCAATTGGGCACAAAATGGCAAGTTACTCCCTGAAAGGAAGGGAATGGCATAATAAATCATTGCATTTGCTCGTTGGTGGCAACAGAATGGTCAGGTATATGTTAGCACTTCTTATCCCTAGCAGATTACTCATGTTTCCTTTGTGCTTTAAAGGGGCTCTGCTGTCCCACATGTCCTACTTAGCTTTTTCTCCCCCTCTGGAAAGGTTTTATTGGCTTCCATGTTCATGTGCTGATATGATCAGTAGAGTTCAAGAATTTCTTGACATTCATCTCAAACACAGGCTTCAGATTTATCCAGGCAGGCTTTTGAATACTAGGAGTTCTTAAGTGCTCCTGCAGGACCAACAGTGGCATTTCAAACCTTAACTGCTGCATTCAGTGATTGCAGCTTACTTTGTTGTCTACGCTGAAATTCTACCCACTCAGTTCTGTGAAGAGAAATGATCAAATTTCAGAACCACATTTCATTTTGTCTTTCATTTGCTTCAAAACTGCTTGTGGGTAATTTTATTTAATCATCCTTAGTTCCAAGAGCCTGAATTCCTCTTACCTTCAGTAAAAACATTTTGTGTAATAGCAGATATACATCTTTTGATACTGGCAGTATTGTAGCAGATACTGTTCTTAACACATATATTATGTAAAACTTTTCTGCAAAGGATTTCTGCAGGTGTCACGAGAATTCAGTATAGTAGTCAACTGGTCACTACTCATTCACTGAGTCAAGGAGATCCAAGTTGGCAATATTTTAAATCTATAGGCCCCTGAAGCTACTAAGGGTAATTTAAGGGGAAAAAAAATCCCCAAAATGCAGCTGCAAGTTCTGATATCTTCATCAAACTATGAAAATTAGCATTATTCAAATGCAGGCAAAGGGAGAACATTGTAAGTATTGATGTAGTGAGGAGTAACATAAAAGGAGCAAGTTGTTAATTATTTGTTTTTCAAGCTTCCCATGTTGGGATTAAAGGTCTCATAAAAACATGGTATATTTCAGGAAGAACAGTCTGCAAAGAATGTGTTATGTAAGTAAAAATATTTCACAGAAAGCAGAAACAACTAGTAATCAAAGAGGAAACACTGGATAACAATGCAGTCTGTTGGGTAATCTCAATCTGATTTCATTGTTAGTTGCATAGAAAATTCTTGATTGCACTTATAAACCAGAACATAGAAGGTTTTGTTGATTGTCCCTATGCTAGGAACGTTCCTATAGAGGCTTTTCTCATTTGAGGCCAAATTAATGGAGAAGTTACAAATGGTTGTATTTGTGTTTTGCAGCTGGGGAACACAAAGTTGGAGATGCACCGAAACATCCAGCGGGAGATGATCAGCCTTTACCACCAGGACATGTCCAAGAACCAGCTGTTAGAACTGATCAAGTTCATCCTTAACCACTTGTGCCTCAACTTTATAGCATCTTTATTATTTGGGGTGGGGAAAGGGTGGGAGGGGTGGGAGGGCAGGAAGTCAGACTGAAACATGAACTCTCCATTTTCTTCCTCACGCTGCAAAATCATTGGGAATGTTAGAGAAAATGTATCAGTCAGGTTTGATTTATAAATTAAACTAATTTTCTCTCCAGTGCATCAGTGAGAAACACAAGGGGATCAGTTAGAGGCTGTAATAGAGGAGGAAATTGGGAAACCCATTAATACTAAAGATTTTTGTGGTCAGGGGATTGGGCTGTTGATTTCTTCTCTTACAAAAAGAGAGGAGATGTCTGCCGTTCTGTGTTTAGGCATGAATTGGAATCTTCTCAGAGATGAAGCAGGGAACAGGCCTGAGGGTCAAGTTAGGTCTGCTTTTATGTAGAAACTTGTTCCAGAAATGCTGAAAAAGCAAAAGATGGGGAAACAAAGACCATTGATAAAGGCCTGTTATTTCCAGCACTACCAAACCCTTTCTTCTTTGAGACCAAATCAAAATAAAACTTGTTAATCACAAAAAATTTGCACTTTCTCAAATTTAAACACAGCAAAGAGTTATGTGGAACAGTGAACATTTCATGTTTACAGAAGCCTAATGATTTCACTGTAAGCCTTCTAAAGGAATATTGTGTATTGATCTGAACCGTCCTTCTCCTTGAGATTAATTCTGTATAGCAGTTGAAAGCTCAGCTGACTCTTGGGACAATACTTTTGTCCCTGCTTCTTTCAGCAGATGCCAGCTGATCTCAAAAATTTTGCATGTTATTAAGTAAGCTTTTTATGTTGATGGAAATAGTGTGCAAAGCAGAACAAGACTCAATGTCTTTTTCTGTACAGATTCTCCTACCTCCTGTAATAACAACAGATTTTTCAAAATGCACCATGTGCTTCAGAGAAGCTCTTGGACACGAATCTGGGACTCATTAAGGGTCTCACTAGTAACTCTGATGAGTCTTTCCAGCTGTTGGTCTAAGTTTATGAAGTGTCCTAAACTAGGGGTGCTACTTGATTGTATTATTTTGGTATTGACCCACATAGGTCCCTAGTATTGCAAGCCAAGCTTTTACAAGATTAAGTTGATTTTCCTGTCACTTTTACTCTAATGTTGAAAAGTTGTGCGAGTGTCCTTGCTTTTCATTCATTTAAACCTTAAAGTATCCTAAAGTGTAAACCCTCTTTGGATTTCTTTGTTTGCTTGGGTATTTGTGTTTTGTTTTGAACCACAGATTGTTCTGACTGTATAATGCTGGCTCTGAACGGATACACACACTGTGGCAAGCAGCCTTTGCATTTCCTTCCTGTTATGTGGCATTAAAAGAGGTGTTTTGGGTTTTGAGCAAAGAAACAGAAGCACACTTCAGTTATAGAAAAATGTGGCTTTCAGAGTAAGACTTGAATATTATAGGCAAACTCAGAAAAGACGGGAGGCAATTGCTAACAGTTTGTATTGACATTTGGGAAGCTTTTTGCTTTGAAGAACTTTGATTGATGAAAGCTAGGCACATTTCATCCACATTCAAGGCTGCTTTCATCAGGTCTGGGCACATTCTTGTTCTCCACACAGTGTAACAGAACTCAGTGCTGGAACAGACTAGGGTTCCTTATCTGTTTCATCTTGTCAATTGTCATGTCATGTTTCCTTCATTTATACCACTCAAACAATTGGATGTCTTTTACCTTTTTCTTTGTGCTTTATGCAAGTAGTTGACATTCTTAGTTTCCAAAACCAGTGTCTCCACCGTTTGGCATTTCCATGCAATTCTAACAACAACTGGATTATGTCTTTGTCAGGAGACTAAAATACCTTTCAACAGCCTCAGCTGTTTGCTAAGAGCCCAGACATAGTTACAGCTACATCCAGGCTCATGAAGTTTCTCCATGCACAGCCCTGGCTTTGGGGTTGTAGCCTGATAATGGGTAACAGGGTGAGGACGGAAATTGAATTATTCAAATGTCAAGGAAAAGGTGAGGGGAAATTTTTACTGTGTTCTCCCCATCCGACATGAAAATTTAGAGGACAAGTGATACAGCCACAGATGTTTGTAGAGAATCAGTGACTGAAGCCTTCAGTTTGAAGACATTTCTACCGTACAAATCATTCCTTCAGGCTACATCTGCCTCCTAACAAATGCCATTATAGGTCATGATATGCTTTGTAAGGTAATGTTCAAGCTTCAGTTTCAGTGCAGCCTCTTACATTTTGATTGTAAGATCCTGACTCTGCTGTTTGATCGGCCCCCTTATCCCATTTACTATGAAACAGCCAGAGTTTTGTAAAGAACTGTTGTACCTTGGGTGCTGAACTTGGGAAGTAGAAAGCTATAATCACAGATAAATAAGGGACTGGAGTATTGTGGGCACAAGTGCTTTCACCTATATTCTGCTTTTCATTTAGGAGGTGATTACAAGAAAACTGCAGCAGACACCAGTTCCACCACAAAGATGCAGTGGTTTGGTTTTGTACTTGGCTGGGATTTCGGTAGGAGGGTGAAGAGATAAAATCTGGTCAATGTTGTTGTACAAATTCATCTCTCCAGTGCAATATATGTAAAAAAAAAAAAAAAAAGCCCCACTCTGTACTTTGTATAGATTAGTTTTTAACTGGATTAAACTGCAACTCAGCACAGTGACAGATGTTTAATGTTTTATTTTTAGCGGGTGGAAAAGAGGCGAGTTTCCATCTATACACACAGCTCTGTATTCACAGATCACACAAGGGCTAGGGGTTGGAAGGGAGCTTAAAGATTATCTAGTTCCAACCCCACTGACATGGGCAGGGACACTTTTCACTCAACCAGATTACTCAGTGCCCCATCCAACCTGGCCCTGAACACTTCCAGGGATGAAGCATCCACAGCTTCTCTGGGCAACCTGTTCCAGTGCCTCACCATGTGCACTAGTATCTCATCTAAATCTACTCTCTTTCAGTTTGAAGCCATTCTCCTTTGTCCTGTCACTGCATGCCCTTATAAATAGGCTCTCTCTATCTTTCTTCTAGGATTTCTTCAGGTATAGGAAGGCCACAATGAGGTCACCCTGAAGTCATCTCTTCTGCTTAAATGTCCTTCCTGTTTGCTCTCCACTTCTTGCTTTCTGGAAAGATGTGAATTTATAAAAAGATATAAGAGATCTTATGTTCTTTCCTGGCACCAGCTGCCTCACTGCAATAGCTATTCTCTAATTAGGTACTTGAAGGCTCAATTTTCTATATTCATAAAAATACTGCAACAGCATTACAAACTCTAACACCACACACTTCCCTGACTTGTTTGAAACAAATCCCAAACAAGGTGAAGCACCCACCAACTTAGTAAGACATTTTTCTACCAGTTACATTCTTTGCTTACAGATTTTGCCTGCAAAGCAAAGTGTTGGACATTTCAGGATATCAGAATAGCTGTGGCAAGGGGTGTCTTGAGGAGATCCACAGCATGTCATGCCACATTAGACTTTTCCAACTTGTATCTTCATTACAGAAAGTGTGATGATGGTGGTATTTTGCAAAGAGGAAAAGCTCTGAACTATGTCTTGTCCTTTGGTAATTTATGCAAAAGTATAAAATCAGAAATTTCAGGGTTGGAGGAGACCTCTAATTCACCAGGTCCAGTCACTATTGCCACTCTGCTCTAACCCCCAAACCCTAAACCTTATCCTCCAGCACCAGATTCAGATGACTCTTACACACTTCCAGGATGGTGACTCCACCCCCTCCCTGAGCAACCTATTCCAGTGCCTGAACACCCTAACAGGGAAAACATTTTCCCTAATATCTAATCTGACTCTCCCCTGTCTCAGTTTCTGGCCCTGCCCCTCTATTCCTCTCCCTGCAGCCATGGCAGAAGTAGGTAGCAGATGCCAAGAGCTGTCCCTACAGTTGGTCCCAGAAGTACTTTCTTGTTTACATCCTGAAATACGTTACTTACTGAAATTAATAGGCAGTTGCACCAGGGTTGTGAAATGACAGTCCCATTTGAAACCAGCGACGCTGACCATAGTTACATTACTAAAAAGGAAGTATTTTTTTTTATGTAATGAGAAATAGGGAACCAGCTTGAGTGCTATTATTTACACATCCACAGACAGCAAATATAAAAACCATCTACAATTACCCTAATGTTACCTAATGCTTTAAAAGCTACACTTGCCAGAATCACTTTGTATCCAATAGTAAAAATTTTATAATTACATTATCAAATACTATGCTGAATAACAGCCTACATACTCGCCTGTGTGGTAAAGTACAATGTCAGTGAGGGAAAGTAATTTTTTCAGAGATACCCAAGTTTCTAAACCTGGTGTATTTTTCAGTGACAAAGGCAAAGATAGAGCAGCACTGCAACATTGACCTCTCCATTCTTTGCCCCTTTTGCACCAACTCAAGCAGCTGTTAGTCTCACTGACTGCACAGTGACTGCTGCTCAGTCTCTGTTCAAACAATTGGTATTTACTCAATGTGTATTTCCTTTACCACATCATAGCTCACAGCTGGTGTCTCCTAAGAAACTCCCCACAGAGCCGTTTCTGTGTTAAACAAGGTGATGGTGCATACAATGCACAGTTTCCCCTCCCGTACCTCATTTCACACCCTCTGCTGCTATCTTATCATTGCTGTTAATAATAATACACTGAGAAGAGGACTTCCATTTTTGTGCTCCCTATCACCAGGGACAGTAGAGAAAGTGGGATGGAGGTTCAGGCAGCCCTCTACCTCCACTGTGCTCATATCAAGCTACCCTGATTCACAACTTCAGGGCCCACCTAGGAGGAGTGGATGAGTTATTTAGCCATGGTGTAGAGTCCTCTGCAAACTTGTATGTATGAACTTTCCAGTCACAGAAAGACACTAGACACTTCATGACTCATCAGGGTTGGAGGAGACCTCTAAAATCATCGAGTCCAACCATTAACCTGTCACTGCTGGAACCCCTAAACACTAAACCGTATCCTCCAGTGTCAAATCCAGACACCTCTTAAACACTTCCAGGGATGGTGACTCCACCACCTCCCTGAGCAACCTATTCCAGTGCCTGATCAGCCTAACAGGGAAACATTTTTCCAAACATCTAATCTGAATCTCTCCTGTCTCAGTTTATGACCATTCCCTCTAGTCCCCTCCCTGCAGCCATGGCAGGAGAGACCATCCCCCACCACCCTACAACCCCTGTCAGGTAGTTGTAGAGAGCCATGAGGTCACCCCTGAGCTTCTTCTCAAGTTTAAATAGACCCAAGTCCCTCAGCTCTTCCTCATACAACATGTGTTCTATGCCTTTTCTGACCTCGTTGCCCTTGGCTGGACTGAATCCAGTGCCTCAACGTCCTTTTTAAAGTGAGGGGCCTGAACTGAACACAGCACTTGAGGTGTTATTTAACCATGGCATAGAGTCCTCTGCAAACTGCAAAGTATGAACTTTCCAGTCACAGAAAGACACTAGACACTTCAGTAGTGACAAGTGAAGTTCCTGAGCCCACACCAATTCTCCAGGCTGTGCAGACCTTGGCAGTGCATTTAG